GCAGAACGCACCGCCGACTCGCCGAGAAAGGATTTATCGACGGCTATACGAAGTTGAAGATCGATAGCGTTCTCCGTGGCAACGACTGTTAACAAATTATAAAACAATTCCTCTCTCTCTCTCTCTCTCTCTCTCTCTCTCTCTCTCTCTCTTACGCCTAGATGTGCGCGAATTTATTGGATTGAAGTTCATTGTTATTATTCAGATCACACGTTCCCGACGCGTCGCTGCTCCGACTCACGTTTACGATGTTCAATACATTACGCACAGCTAGAAAATACAGAATGCTTCATGCAACTGTGTGTGTGTTATTATTTTTTTTTGCGATGGTTTTTACACGAATAAAGAAATATAAAAAATATCTTTATCAATAATTTTTATTTGTCAATAAATATTTTTTCGTATGGAAATATTTAGGTTTTTAATTCCAGATTATATAAAATTGACCATAAAATATTTATATTTTCTGTTATTGCAAAAGTTGTTTTTTACACAACATCGATATGGATGCTATCACATTATTTTGACTACAACCAATTTCCAGACTAGAGACAAGTGTCTTTTCGCTGTAGTTTGTACAATAATATTGACACACGCACGCGGCTATATATATGCACATATTTTACATGTTACGATACTTGACTTACGCGACTTTTCCTTTGACCGTCTCGTTCAGCGCGAGGGAGACGAGCGGGCGAGTTTTCCAAGGAGAAAATACGCGAATACGTTTATTACTTACACGCGCCACGACAAATTACAGGGGGCACCGACCACGGCCCCCGGTTCCTGTAATGATGCGGGAGCGAATTTCCGTGGAAGTAGCACGCGTGGTTACAAAACTTTTTAACCGTAGTGTCTGCGGCACGGACACATCGTGTGGGTGCGGGGCGCGCGTGTGTGCGTGCCGAGGGCTCGCGTGGCTTTGCCGCGACTCGAGCTTGCAATTTGTGCAGTGGTCAAAGGCAACGGCCGGTGTGAGAGGACATTACCGCAGGTAGCCGGATGAAGCCGAAAAGAGAGAGAGGGAAAGAGCGCGCGCGATAAATAGAAAACGAAGTAGGAGAAAAACATACCCGGCGTGGAGGATTTGCAATTGCAAACTTAAATTGTGGTCCGCGGTTATTGAGAAATAATCGCGTCTTACAATGAAATTATTCTCCACTGATGCGGTATCGATGGCGGTTTGTAATATCGAGAATAGTAAACAGCCTTTTCTTAATCGTTTGTCATCGAGAATCATGATATTGATTGTGAGATAAATTAATCATTGATGATAATAAGAATACGGAAGAATAATGGTGGTCAGTAGTTTTCGGCCTCTTTAGTATTTTATTTTGACATTACCGTTGTCCGCTCTTTTTAGTATTTTCGATATCTATTATTCTTATTTTCCTCTTTCTGTAAAGTACAAGCCTACGCAGGCTTTAGAAAGTATGAATAACAGAAGCTAAAAAGAACAGAAATGTATACGTTGTGCGTCTCTACAATGAATTATAGCAGATTTTTTTATTAGCTTTAACAGAAGTTTTATTATACAAATAATATTTTCAACCGTAAAATATAGATATGAGTTTCAAAGAAATATAAATATATAAGTTAAAAGAATACTGATATTATTCAGTAAACTAATAAAATATGAAGGAATTCAAAACGTTAGCATCAATTTAATTATATTTGTTTTACAACAGCTATATCTTGGCTAAAGTAGAAAAGACACATTGAAAGTATCGGAGTAGACAATTTATCAAGAATTGATAGAATTGTGCAGAATAGTTACGGTAATTGATTGATTCTCGATATCCGCAAGAAAAATGATTGCTTCCTACGAGAAACCTGTTGGATATTCAAAGCTTCCGATTATTGATTCCCTTTGACCGCTTGCAATCGAACGCAACCAAATGAATTTCAAAATGATATTGATTGATTCACAGAGGGTGGAATTACAAGAAACAAAGTAAAAATTTATTATATTGTTATACTTGAAAACTCGTAAAATTACTTTACAGATCATAACTATTTTCTCTATATCTCTGTTTCTCTTTCTATCTCCCGTTTATTATATAATATTATTTTGCAAGTTATAACAGTAAATAATTAATTAATTAAAATAATAATTATTAGAATCAATCAATTATCGTAAAAAATATTTATATTTTAGAATGTTATATTTATCAATATGTCAGAATAAATTTGGGAATTTATTCATAGATGTAATAATAGGTATCTTTATATGTGAGGTATATCCTGTATTAATATTTAAACAGAGGCAACGAGAATAGCAATGGAATAAAGAAGGAATGAATCGATAAATAAAAAAAGTGCACGTATCGAAATATATACTGCTGAAAATAATAATTTGAAAGCATGCAATTCGAAATATTCGCTGATAACATATTAAAATAGTCCCAGTCGTAATTTGTGACAAGTACATAATTTATTCGTATAGTGAAATGTAGTGAATATTTCACCTCGCAAATGCAAGTGGAGATTGCAAAGCTTATATGTGTAAATAGAAATGCAATTTAAGTGTAATTTTGTTTAACTGAATACTTGTTATTCTAAGATTGATGTTGCTATTATAGTATCAATTACCAACTAAATTTTCCTTTTGCAACAATTTCGATCGTTTGCTGAAAATAAAGCAAAACGCTTCCAACAAACGAATCTTGAAATATAGCTTAGCTTTAGCGAAATTATTTATTTCTTTTGGACGTTATGGACTCTTCGAAAGCAAACGTAACTATCGACGGGGAAAAAAAGAGAGAGACATAAATTGAATGTGCAATCACGGCAAAACCGAGTCGCCATGAATAACGGCAATAAATGTCGTTTCTTCCAAAGGTTTACAAAGAATCCTCGTGCGACGCCGAAGGAGGCGGAGAAGAAGACGATCCTCCGAGGTGCAGCGCGAAGCTCGCAAGATGCTCTCTCCCTCTCTCCCCCCCTTCAAAAACAAATTCATATTTCAAGGCGGAACCCTCTACGGTGTATTCGTCTACGAAAAGAGACGCGAGCTCGGAGATAAAAGTGAAATACGCGGGTTCGCTATTGAAGGCGGTGCCGGAGGAGGAACGCGGATACAAAGCCAGAGACAAGGGATCACGGTCATTCGTCATTCGACGTCGCCCTTTGTCTCATATCGCTATAATAGATTGAGCTTGACAATCGCTTATCTCATTTGAATCCGCTCTCTCCCTCTCTCGTGCGCGGTAGGGATAAATCGCCCTGGTCGAAAAGCAATTTAATCAGGAAGATTGTCGTCGCCAGGCCGTCTTCGAGATGATCGCGCGAACGCGAACGCCAACTGCTTTCGTCGCCGTTGTCGTCGTCGTCGTCGTCGTCGTCGTCGTCTCGTAGTCGTCGTCTCGTAGTCGTCGTAGTCGTTGTCGCCGTCGTCGTCGAGACGAATTTTTCGCGCGCAGTGAAAAAAAAAAGCGTAAAACCTAATGAACGTCATCTTGATTCATGATCTAGAGAAACTGGGCCTCCCGCGCGCGCAACACGGGAAACGGATGCGCGGCCGCCGGTCGAAATTCAATTTGTATGCTCCATGATTTATTTTCCCTCCGCGCGGATTTATCTTCCGGGCGATGCTCTCCGGTGCATTTTACGGCGTCATCCTCCATTAAGTGGGCTATCCATACGTCGGACCGGCGAGAAGATTACGTTTTACGCGTCTCATCCGTCGCCGTTAATTATTAAATGCGTATTATTCTCTGCGGGGAGTTATCTCGCGTATATTCACGCGAAATTGAGGCTTCCCGCGCGTACTCGCCGGGGAAATACGCGGTAAAAAGTATCGACGATTTGAGTGCATCTCAGCAGCCGCGCTGCTCCCCCGAAATCCCGTTGGAAATTTTCCCGTGATACCCCAACAATGCCGCTCGGTCGAGGATTCTCGGCGTTAACGCGTTTTACCCCGCGTTCTCAGCAATTGCGCAATCGGCCGTGTGTGTAGGTCCATCCGTTAGACACGCTTCGTTCATTCCGCTCGTTACTTCTATTACTCCAGACATTTACATGCACACTTTATACGTGCGTATGTATCGTCACGCGCGCGCACGCGCGCGGATTTGGCTCGATCGCGTTCGCCCTTCGCGATGTATACGTACAGCAGCGCGAATGGGTCGCTAACGTTATCCTCGATTTTCTTCCGGACAGAAATCCGAGATGAATACGAAGTGAATAAACGGGCGCGACGGACGGGGCTCATCGGCAGTCTATCGTTCCGGGCAAACAGTCTCCTCTCGAACAAAAGAACGAGCCAGCAGCGTCAACACAAAAATCCCATTTACGTCTCTCGCGCAGACGTAAGCCGGGCCCGTGGAGGCAATCACGGTAGCGCGCGCTCTCGAGATATCCGTGTTAAATAAATTTCAGCGGGCGACCCCTTTCGCGCGCCCCCGGTATCCTCGTCGGATTCGTCGACACAGGGAAAACATCAGGACGGTTCTTCCTCCTTCCTTGGGCGAGAGTGTGTACGCGCGGCAACGGCGGTCGTTGGCGTCGACGTTGGTGTCTAAGCGCGCCGAGATTGACAGCTCGAGTGCGCGCACGCTCGCTCCGAAAACATCGCCGTAAGATACGCGCGGGCGGGTATCGCGAACGGCACATATTCGCGCTTAGCTTACGTACACGCGTATACGTTTCTCTCCTATCGAGTGAACGTACACACGAGCGATGATTATGTACATATACGTACGTGCGCCGCGCGCACCAACGCACGCCGCACGCACATGTACACACGCATATACACAGGGATTCACACGAGCGACTGTATAAACACAGGCATACGCAGCGGGAGTATAATGTACGCGGCGAGCACCACGGCATCGCGTTATCCCTACACGTCTGTCCATTATTGCGATAGCAGGCTGCGTCAATATTGGCCCAAAGGGTTTCACTGTGATTGTCTTCCTCGCGTTCATACACACACATACACGCACGTACGCACACATACACGTACGCACACGTATACGGCATTAGGCCCGGCTCATACGCGATACTCTAGCCTAGCTGCCTACACCGATCGACAGCCTCCACCGCATTTCTCCTCTTCCTCCTTCTTCTCCTCCTCCTCTTACCCCTTTTCATCATCGTCTTGTCCTCCTCCACCATGCCGCCGGTTCTTCTCGTCGTTTACTCAGCTTCGCACGAACGATCGCTTCGTTCAAACTCTTCGAAAACAGGCACATCCGATTTCATGATAGCTTCAAATAGTTCGCACCGTTCTTGTCCAGCTGACCGGCTAACGGTGCTGCCCGCTTGTTTGCGAATACGTCGGCGATATGGAATCGCCATGAGGAGCGATGGTTTCACGGACTATTTGGGATTTAACGATCGGTGAGATATGAATTATTATTCGACGCGGCAATATAGAGGGTTTGCTCGCATAGATGAGATAGCAGAAGAAAAGATGTGTAATATTTCTATATCTATATATATATGTATATTTTATACGTTACCTCGCGGATCGAAAATAGCTGCGGAATAGATAAATCTGTGTTTAGCTGGACAGAATTCTGTACAGGATTGTATCGAGTAGCGAATTTCCAATTCAGTGACACGCTGAAGATTATATCTCTGTACACCAGCTTATTATAGATTTCCCGTCTAACTAACCGTTTCTGCTGCACTAACGAAGATCTGTGCTTGCACATTACTGGCAGTGTTTACTCGTTGAATCAGAGGCATTAGGTATTTCGTTGAGAGATAATCTAAATTCTGCAAATTTCCACATACATGCTTTCTATAAATAACTTCAATAACACATCTCTCTATGCGAAGATTATCTCTCAAAAGGCTTTATCATGCCTTCATTTATTTATGCATCGTTTTGACGAATGAGAGTGTATTTCTAAAATTTTCCGGAGCACTGATAATTGTATAATATTTCGCTTTATTTTCTCGAACATAAATTTAAAGTCTTTAAAAAAAATTAATATGTTTTGTTATTATGATGTATTAATTGCATTAATACATGCATAATTCAATATTACAGAATTTTGATATGGATTGCCTTAATCTGCCTAAACGTGCCACCGGAACGCGAATGCATTCGTGCCATCTCGTTAAAGATTCCATGCGCACTGTCTCTCGAGAGCGGATTCGCACCTGTTCTCCGCTCTCGAATGTTTATTTTTTGAGGGCGGAAGAGGAGGAGCCGAGCATCGTTAGATGCCTCGCGAAAAGAAAACGCGGGGACCATCCTTCGTAGCTGAGGACTCTGTTTGTCGTGTATACATGCAAACGGTTCGCGGCAGACACAGGCAAGAAGTGCGACGGGACACGTACGATATAACTACCAGCACCTGGCGCATAAAGCCCTGCACTGCATACGTTATGAGAGAGCCTGCAGGTCCGCATGCAGCGCAGCCGTAATATTTTCAGCTCGCGCCCCCGACTACGTTTTTACGATACACTTGACGGCCAGAACGCTGAGTTTCCTCCGAAGCTGCATCGATGATATTGGAAAGCACAATCAAAGACGGCGGTTTATATAGGCACTTGCAGAATTTTATCGTCTGCGTAGCTTTTATTGCGACACGCAATTTACGCACGTGGCTGCTGATCTCGATAATTTGATGCATAAACCGATAATATAATTTTAATTCGTATATTATAAGAGTTCATTTTTTTAAATTTATTATAAGAATATCCGTGTGATGTGCAGAATAAAATATAAATTATACGTATTATTGGCATCACGTAACTTCTTCGGAATAACAATACGCAAAAGTAAAAATGAATAAAAATAGCAAAATACAATTACATAGCAAGAGTTGTGTAATTGAGATTTAAAATTGTTTGCAATGTTCAACTACGTTATGGAATCTGCACGGCTGTGACGCATATTTAAAAGATGAAAATTGATAAAAATTTTAAATAAGTGTCACTAAATTATATTTTCAATACAGCACAATTAAACGTCACATTTAATTTCTTCATTATGTAGTTTGCCGTCTCTGCAAATAAGTCTGTCACGCGAATGAATGAAATGTCATTTGGTATTCAATTGTAGTAAATTGTATAATATTTAGCTCGAATGCAGGGGTGAGTTATATTTACATTGATGAAATACTGTTATCCTGTCAATCCTAATTTATATTTTAATATTCTGTTCGCGCGGCACATAATATGCAACGGCATCCTTTCTCGGCATAATCTTATTTCCGGAAAAGTAGCACCATTTTAATTCAGTAAATTAAACGTGATATTCGATATAAAGGTAATGTAATATTTAATAAAATAATTAATAAAAAGATTTATTTAATGGAAGCTACGATATTACCTATTTATATATACATATAACCTTAAGAGAGAGAAATGTCATTGCGGAAACATAAGCGGGCACAAGCATAGCGTGAAATTCAATTGCGTTAAAACATGTTCATAAAATATGCTTGTTTTAAATTTTTTCTTACCATAAGACATGTCTCGCTAGTTGAATGCAACAGGTGAATAGCATTGTTCTACGTTACGCGAATTGCAAAGTGTTCCGAGATATTGAACAACATCTACATATGTTTGCAAAGTGCAACACGCACGATCCGCATCCGATTATCGTGACAATGTTGACTAAGAACATCGCCTGCATCATAATGTATAGACATGTACAAATGAATATCACATTCGCTTCGGATGCGATTTTTAATCGCGTGCAATTAAAATAATATTACTTGACACAAGACATATATAATAACCTGTTAATTCGATATTAACTATTAATTATACATGTCTGCCTCTGTGTATGCGTACATTTTTAGTTATAAATTAAGGTCAATATAAATAATATATAAATAATTAATTTATATTGCAATATATTTATTTTAATGTATCGTTTTGTACGGAATTTACAGTTGCTATACTCATTTCTATGTTTCAGTAATATTGGGATACATATTATATTTATTATATTTCATTAATATTAAAAGGAATTTATATGTATATATTCTCTTTTTCTTTATCTCTCGGTAGTAAAAAAATAAGAAATTTTAATCAGTACAGAAGTTAATGTTTATAATTAAATTTTAAAAATGTATTAGAATAAAGTAAAATGATAATATATAAAAAGGTTCTGTGTTACATAATCTAAAAAAAAAAAAAAAATAAATTATTTGAGGTATCCAATCACAACATTATCAGCGGTCAAAGTCGAACACTAGATTACAATATGATTTCTGAACCGAAAAACGAGTCGACATAATTCCTTAATTATTACATTCACCATCGCGCACTCTTGAGAGAAATGAAGTATGTACGTTTATCGTGGCTCAAAAATTATCTTGAATGCACGTAGGAAGTGTTCGACCGACGATCGGCTGTTATAATACCTCTACGTACGTTTTTTGTGCACTTGCTTTCTATTAAATGCCAGGTATAAAATTGCAGGTTACAGCGGCCCATTTCTCATGCGTCTGGCCGAGCATGGAGAGGAACGAACCCGAGCGAATCGGTGAATGAAATGAGTTTCGGTCGCGCTAAGATCGTAAGTACCAATCCCGTTCTTCCAGTTTGGCTTTCACGGATGGCCGGTGTGCGTGCCTACGTATATACACGAACAGGTTATGTATGCGCACACCAAGATATCGCACGAGGGGGGTTACCGCTGCCCGATCGAGGCATTCCACCAAAGTTTCCGGCTGATGATAAACTATCGCGACGAAAGACAGTGGCGATCATTCATCAGAATTCATCTGATCTTTCGAGTTTATTGCCGAAGTAGCATGTATGCATTGCTGTACACGATCGTCTATCCCTTCAATTTGCATTATTGCGTATGCGACGAGGCTGGTCTTTAATTTATTATGTTGTCATTTAAACAGAATAAGATAATATATGTATATTTGTATATACATATATGATAAATTATAATTATCAAAGGAAATACAAATTTTTTAAATATAAACAGTAGAAAGACAAAATGTTTTGTCATGCATATTTTGTCTGTTTGCACAATCGCAAGCAATTTATAGTTAGTATTCACGAAACAATACTTATGACATAAAAGCTATTTCAAATAGATACCTATTTTATCTCTCTCGTCAAAAATATGAAAAAGACCATTTCACATTTATGAAACCTTCAGCGTGAAAAGGATAAGCGCAAATAAAATAGAAAAGAGAACAGGTCAAAATGTGTACTCTGCGTGCTTGTACACGCGAGTCCGTTTTTAATCATTTATCGCCGTTACGATCGATCGGGCGTATGTTCAAAGCGCCTCGCGATGTATTATTTCACGGGCTAAAACCACGAAGATTATGAACTACCGAGAGAACGGGCTCGCAGACGAACGTGTATGTTGACGGCAGATGGAGGTGTAAAGCCGCATCATAACATAAATTATTGCTGGGTGATCCATCAGAGCATAGCGGCGATTAAACATAAACTCTTCAAAGAGAGCTAAGAAAATATAAACTTAAAATTATAATCTCTGTAATTTAATGGCACGAATAAATTTGAAAATTTGGTTTCTCTCATTTTTACATAACTATTTCCATATAGAAATGTCATGTATATTTAAAAGTAAAATAATTACGATAAAAAAAACTGAAGGAAGTAAATGTAAACGTGGTCTGCGAAAAATCTCTTAAAAATTTTAAGATACATTTTCAAACTTGGAAAAAGAAATTATTAGTATTCGATGAAAGTTAGGGAGATCTTTGAATATATTGTTAAGCGTAGTTGGTTAAAGCCAGGTCCAGTTCGATCAATCCCGTCGGTTCGAATCGCGTCTCCCGTGCACGATTCGTTCGCCGCTGTGATGTCGCAATTTTTTAATAACGCGGCCCTTCAGCATGAATTGTAAATAAGGCGATCGCATTTGCATCCTGATGGCGCGCGACTCCCTGAACTCATCAGCGTCACGATCATGCCGGGCGCGATATTTATTCCACGATCGTCGGTGGACCGCCGCGTCGCGTCGCGTCGCGTCGCGTCGCATCGGCCGGCCGCGCCAACTTCTCCTATCCCCCGGGTGGACGCGGTACTAATTACAGAAATAATTAATGCCGCGACCACCCCTGCGCGTCACGCGGGCCGGTCTGGCGAAAGATGAAAGTGCGATACAAAAGCCGGTGGAGAAGGGAGAGAGAGATCAGAGCGCCGAGTAAATTAGCGCGTCTCTAAGGTACACACGGCGTGTCTCGGCCTTTGGTATAATGGATCGGGAATGGATTAACGGCGGTGCGAAATGTAGGGAAGAGAGAGAGAGAGAGAGAGAGCCGCGTGCGCGGGTGGCAGCGTGGTCCCCGCGTAGATCCCCCGGTACGGAGTCCCAGCGGCAGCGTATTCTAATGGACAAGCCGCCGCTGTCCACATTAGCCCGAAACAATTGCATTGTTTTTCTCACAATGACGGGGCGCGCGTGCGTTCCGACCGCGGGGGTGGACGGGCTTCGTCTCGGCGGTGGAATATCGAGGGGTTCCTCGCCGCACAACGACGTGAAACCATCTCCCAGCCGCTGTTTACGCACAATACTCACCGTAAAGAATCTCGACGAGACGCGGCGTGCGGATGCGGGAACACGACCGCCGAATTAATTGCCATTGTATTTGCATTGCGAGAAATAGCTGGCTTTAATCCTGAACTTGGCAAAACCGAGAGAGTAAATTTGAAATTGCTTTACACATGAAACAACATAAAAGAGAAATAAAAAATTTGTACACGGAAAGAACAATTTTGCTTGATCCAAATCAATAAAATAATTTTTGTTCAATAATCAAAATAATTTTGTTGGAAAGTCAAAACGATTGCTGGAATGTCAAAATGTTTTATAGCAACGTCTAACATTTTTAACTTTCCAACAAATTATTTTGATTATTGAACAAAAATTATTTTCAGATCTGTATTTAGCAAAATTTTTAGATCTTTCAACAAAATCGTTCTTTTCGTGTACAAAGTATTATAGGAAAAAAAAAAATTATAAAAAGATGAACCAATTAACCGATATAGCTTTATTCATATTCTCTTCTGAGAGTCTCTGTTTGAAATAATTACTATAATGAATTGAAAGGTATGTAATTTTATAATCCGTTTCAAACTCGGATATCGTTCATCCATCATGTGACTACGCTCAATATTTGACGCATTTTTCCGTTTAAACGAAACATTGCGAAACACGAGACATTATTAATGCTGATTATAAATAATTCGGTTCATTGCAATTTTACTTATAATTTGCTGGCATCGATATCCGCTGTCGACATACTGTAAATCGTGCAATTCTCAATCCAATTTAGCAAATGGAGCTAAATCGATCATCCATGAAAGTACTCGATACAGGGAACGGCTATCGACTGGTAAATTCGTTAGTGAATATTAGTTTTAATTAAAATTTCGAGGGGATGAGGATTCATCATTGCGCCGCCGCTGCCGCCGCCGCCGCCGCCGCGAGTCGTTAACATGGCGGCTCGTCTATTTCGCCGTGTAAATTATGCCCAGGCCGGCGGCCGCCGGTGTGCACCAATGATAAAGTTTGTTTTTTAATTAAAAATCTGCCACCCGCCCGACGGCATTGGTGGTGAAAGGATCGTCACCTCGCGTGACAGCCACTCTCAAACACGCGCCAACGCGACGTACTGCTGTTCGTTATGCGAAACGCATTTCGATTTTGTCGCGACGCCCCTGTATAAATATCGCGGGCTCGTCGGGCTGTTTAATCGGTCGAAAGAGCGTCACGACGCGACGCGGACGCCGCGTCGTTCTCCATTCATCATAACGTGTCAGAAATTGCCTGTCACGACGATCTTTGACAGCGCTTCGCGTTACCTGCGTGAAGATAAACGCGGCGCACGTTAAGATTTTATACTAGATTACTAATCAGTACGCATACACAATGCATATAAGTACATTATATACGATCGATGCTGATACTGATAAAACATTTTCAATATTTATGCGTTGATACATCTATCGTACTATTGCATTTGGTTCGTTAAATTTAAATGGCCGATTATAGTTCTTCCGCGTACGACGTGATTTACGCTCGTTGATGCTCCAAACGATATTAACTAAATTCTCTGTGTAAATAATTTAACATCGCCCTCCACTTGCATAAATTGCTTTTGATATACGTAAGCGAAATTGATAATAGCATTTCAATAATTAAAATATGAAATTATATTTATAACGCGAAAATATAATGGCGAGATTGGAGGAAATTGAACAGCTGCCATCAAGTGTTGCAAAATAGTGGAAACTTTCGCGTTATCATTCTCGTACTACTGTCGGATATCGAAGCAGACAGAAGATCGCGAGCAATTTTCATTGTTCCATTTCCGCTTACAGGTATTTCTTCCCCTGCTTTCCACTGCAATAGCAGACTCTCGGATTAGCTTAGCGAGAAATGTTTTCGGTAAACGAATACCAACGTGTATAAATTGATATGGCTGCAACGTACCGCGGCGAGAGAACGGAATTTCGAAAGCTTTCTGCGAAAGTAACCGGGAGGAAGCAATTTTCCACGTCGTCCGTATTTGTAGTTCTTCGGTGTGCGAACGATTCTTTGTCCTGTAAATAGCGTACTCTCATTGGCACGCGTCGGACATCGTGTTTGCCATGTCGGGGGCGAAATACCGGGTCGCGCGCCGCATCGGAGAGCGTCAACTGAAATTCAACCGCTCACACCGCACCGTTGCATCTACCAACCTACCTAATACGTGCACATCATCTGGTGGCGATCCCGCGGCTCGAAAAGCGGCGGGAACGACGACGCGATGGCCGGTTCGGCCGCGATTTATGAGGTGTCGAAATTGCACGTTGTTTCTCGCGAAATTTATGGCATCGGCGTCGCACAAGTATCTGGTATCCTTGGTATCGGCTTGCCTCCTAGGCACGCAGGACGAGGCACCTCTTATTATCGTGGCGGGCCAATTTATCGTGCACCTGTCAGCGATCGCGATCTCTTTGATGCCCCTTCCCGGGTAAGGACCTATCTTCCCCTCTCGCCCCCCCCGCCTCCCCAACCTTGGCGGACGTTAACTTCAAAGGCAACTTTGAAGAATGGTTCCCCGGATTCCCGGGGATGATTGTCGTAAGAAAGGGGTGGAATGTTATTAAAGGGTGATTCGAGGAATTTGGCGTACTTCTCTGACATCGTCGAGTCGCTCCGAAGTTATAATGAAAGAAAGCTGCGTCTAATTAACGTTAAGACAAACAACGCGAAAGTGGCCGACGGAGGGACTAACTTGATTGCGCGTACGCGCTCTCGCCGATCTTTGTATCCCCGAGATATTATTCTCCGTAATTTATTTATGGTAAACTTTTCTCTTATCTCTGTTGAGATGTGTTGTCTCCGCGCCGCTTCCGCTTTCGCTCGCATTTAAATTGCACCAACTTTTTGACTCACACCTTGTTTAAAAGTTATATAATTGCTTTTTAACATTTGTCACATAAAATTTTACTTATGGAAATATTTTCGTTTATAATTCGCTTTTACAATGATTGTCACACGTACAGTTTCGTTTTACTTAAACAAAATTTTGTTTG